CATACAAGGTTTTTGGGAGAGGCTAGACAAAAGTCAACTATCGACATGATTATTGTAAATATTATAGACTAAAATACACATATTATGACTCCTTAATATTTTAGTTTAAATTGTGGAATATTTTTGTTGAAAAGTATGATGTCTTCACACTAATAAGTCCGATTTAAACTTTTGACGAAAGAGTCCAATAACAACACTCCGGAAACAGAACAGTATAAAGTTGGTGGATAAAATCTGTGGAATACTTTTATAAAGTGAGCTTATGTAAAACATGATTTAATTTGGTGTATTAAAAAGTTAACTTCCTTTACAAACCTTATTTCTGAATTTTAATGTTAGATTAGTTGAATCGGCTATAAACTTAGTGGAGAATTTGGTTTAAACTAACCCAAAGTGGTATGCGGGGGTCTCTAAAATCAAAGTTTAGATGGCTAGATTTATTTAGTTTCAAAATGGTATGTAAAGTTATTTATTTTCGATTTACGTCGTAACGCCGTCGGTTTCTTAAATAAAATTTTATTTATGTTTAGGTATTTTTATATGAAATTGGATTTGGTTTTCGCAGTTTAATTATGAAATGAGGTTTTTTGTGTGTGGAAAATAACTATGTACATTGGCTAGAGGCATTGGTTCTTGGTTTCTATACAAACGATTTGTATTTTTTTTTTTTTAATTTTAGAAACGATTCGTGGTTCTAGCTTCTATGTTATTACTTAGTAATTAATCTGCTAATATATTTGTACTATCATTATTTTTGATAATTCATCCATTATATGACGTTACCAGACGAGCTTATGACATCGCAGATATGATGTATACATTTATACGAGTCCAACATTTAATAAAATTATTGTAAAGAATGCGGAGACTTTTCTTAGATATTTAGTATTATTTTCAAGATCAAATCGAAATTAAATGTTCATGATATTTTCTCTTAACACAGACCCATTTATGAGGGTTTTTGTTTGTTTGTTTTCCTTGTCAATTTATAATGAAACCAAATTGGAGATTATACACGCAAGGAGGAAGACGGTGGCTGCCATGGATACCTGCATTTATTTTTTATTGGATTATACAGACTTTTAATTACAAAAGGATCGGAATAATTTGTTGTCTGATGTTGAAACAATAAAATACTATATATATTCTTATGAATTTTTTTTTTTTTTGAAACTTTATTCTTATGAATTATTGATTACCAACATCTATTCTTTTTGTAGCATGTAGGCATTATCAGACAAACGTGAGGTGAAGCCATACCTCACCTAGATCAGATTTTTGTTTGAAATTTGTTTTCCGTGAGAAGTTATGAAAACTATGAACAAATAACTTCAAATTCTTATAACTACTTTACTATGCCCTAATTTCCATGTGTACTCGAACCAGAACCGTTCTTAGAGATACATAGACCCGAGGCAGTGTTTAAATACATTAACTCATATATAACAAAATATAACAATCGTTACCAAAAAAAACAAAATATAACAATCGTTTTTCCACAAAACAAAAATTAGAATAAAGTGCGAAATATTAATTCTATACTACAATCGTTTTTCCACAAAACAAAAATTAGAATAAAGTGCGAAATATTTACCTAATATTTGTTTTTTTTACATCTAAAGAAGATATTTACCTTAAAAAATACATAGTCATTTACCTAATTATTTTCTATATTTTCACTATTTGCTCTAGTAACCCAAAAAATTATTGGCTTTTAAATGTGGCTTTTCACATGATTGAAAGTCTAAACCAGTTAAACCCTTTAAGATTTTCTTAAATCCAAATAGCCACTAAACTTTTCCAACGAATCATCTAAAAATTCAAACTTTGAAATCTTTTTATTAAATGGACCCATGACGATTTACACTCCCCCATAGTTGACCCCATGAGTCCAGCCAAAACATGTGTTTGGTTACATAGTGACATAAATTTTTAAAAAATATTCAAGAGGCTAAATTTTAAAAACATTCACACGAGGATAAAAACAAAAAGCAACTATTTTAAAATAGGTCTTATCCAATAATAACAGACTCGTGTCCTACTAACCATATCTTTCAATTACAGAAAAAAAAAATCCTAGCTGGTCAAAATTCACGTCCAGTTAACATAAAAAGTCAACTTCGTTACATATACATTCTTATCCAAAATTAAAAGAAAACTTTTAACTTACTAATGCCAGCTTAATTACTAATTACACACATCAAAGTTCCAAGTTTGGAGAGTTAGGTCAAGCTGTTAATTACTCTAATTACACATGTGTAGTTAATTAGGGTCCGTAATTAGAAATCTTTGATCGGGTCTTAAGTATTTGATCAAAAAAATCAAGTTTCTATAAATACATATTAATAAATAATATGTGGATAATTCTGATCCATTGGATCTAAATTAATAACATACAAAATCTTCTCTTAAATAATTCTGATCCATTGGTTTTCACGAGTACTGTCAGATCTCTGTGTTGTCATTTCTTTTCTATATATATTCATCGAATCTTCTTCTTTGGTAGTGAGAAACAAAGAGAGAGAGATTAAGACCAAACTTATAACAAACTTTCAGACTAAAAGCTCAGAATTGGGAGAGACATAACTAAAGTCTTTTTACACTATAGTTTTTTTTTAATATATTTTATAATTACGTGTTGGTGAGTTAACCATGGCCGATCATATCTCCGTCGAGAAGCCGGCGAAGAACTCGATCTCCGATGAGAAGCCTGTCGAGAAGTTAATCTCCGATGAGAAGCCTGTCGGAGTTAATAGATTTGCTCTTCAATGTGCTATTGTCGCCTCTATCGTCTCTATCATCTTTGGTTATGGTAAGTAACAATTTTTATCTTGAAAATATTTTTTTACATACACAAAAATTTGTGTTTATCCGTTTTGTATTAATAGTTTACAAAAGTTTTTTTAATGTCAAGTTTATGGTTTTAATTAGTTCATTTTGTTTATGATCATGAGAAATGATATGTTTTTTTTTTTTGGGGGATACTTTTGTAGATACCGGAGTGATGAGTGGAGCGATGGTGTTTATAGAAGAAGATTTGAAAACAAACGATGTTCAAATCGAAGTTCTCACCGGAATTCTCAACCTTTGTGCCCTTGTCGGATCATTGCTCGCCGGGAGAACGTCGGACATAATCGGACGGCGTTACACAATCGTTTTAGCCTCAATACTATTCATGTTGGGTTCAATTTTGATGGGTTGGGGTCCTAATTATCCGATTCTCCTAACCGGTAGATGTACTGCCGGGCTCGGAGTCGGTTTTGCTCTTATGGTTGCTCCGGTTTACTCGGCCGAGATAGCGACGGCTTCTCATAGAGGACTCTTAGCTTCTCTTCCTCATCTTTGTATCAGTATAGGGATTTTATGCGGTTATCTTGTTAATTACTTCTTCTCCAAGTTACCTATGCATATCGGTTGGAGGCTAATGCTCGGTATCGCCGCGATTCCATCGTTGGTACTAGCTTTCGGGATCTTGAAAATGCCGGAATCCCCACGGTGGTTGATTATGCAAGGACGTTTAGGAGAAGGCAAAAGGATATTGAATTTGGTATCGAATTCCCCCGAAGAAGCCGAAATCCGGTTTCAGGACATCAAAATCGCTGCGGGAATCGACCCGAAATGCGAAGAAGACGTCGTGAAAATGGAGAACAAGAAGACTCACGGAGAAGGTGTTTGGAAAGAACTGATTTTAAGACCGACTCCTGCGGTACGACGAGTTCTACTAACCGCTCTAGGGATTCATTTCTTCCAGCACGCGACCGGTATCGAAGCCGTGCTTTTATACGGTCCGAAAATCTTCAAAAGAGCAGGAATTACGACTAAAGACAAGCTTTTTTTGGTCACAATCGGTGTCGGAATCATGAAAACGACGTTTATTTTCACAGCGACTTTCTTGCTCGACAAGGTAGGTCGAAGGAAGCTTTTGTTGACCAGTGTTGGAGGTATGGTCTGCGCTTTGACCTCGTTAGGGTTTGGGCTTACAATGGCCCAAAATTCTGGCGGGAAACTTGTTTGGGCTTTGGTACTGAGTATAATCTCGGCTTATAGTTTCGTGGCGTTTTTCTCAGTTGGGCTTGGCCCAATAACATGGGTCTATAGCTCAGAGGTTTTTCCGTTGAAGCTTAGAGCACAAGGAGCGAGTCTCGGTGTTGCGGTGAACAGAGTTATGAACGCCACCGTGTCGATGTCGTTTTTGTCGTTGACTAAAGCCATTACCACCGGTGGAGCTTTCTTTATGTTCGCCGGAGTTGCAGCGGTGGCTTGGAATTTCTTCTTCTTTCTCTTGCCGGAAACTAAAGGCAAATCACTTGAAGAAATCGAAGCACTTTTTGAAAGAGACGGTGATAATAAAGTACGCGGCGAAAACGGCAAAGCTTAGCATTTTTCATTTTTAATAAGCCATGTAAACCGGCCACGTTTTAGTGATTTCTCTTATGCGACGTCGTTTCAATGTTCTTTTTTTGTGTGTAGGGCTTTTGTCAAATTATAAAAACCAACGGTCACGATTGATTCACACTTAGCATTTTGTTACTAATTTTAAGATCAACGGTTCTTACATCGTCGTTACTTTAGTAGCAAACATTGGCCCAGTATTATTGAATGCCCTAAAAGTAAAAAAATAAATCAAACCACCCTCGTCAATTCTAACCACCCCCCACACGAAAGTTTCTCTCAACTTTACTCCTTCTTGT